TATAAAAACGGGAACTGAAACCGCACAGGGAAGTCCTGTGGGATGAGCAATACGGCTCGAGTCTCTGAGGTGCTCAGGTTAATCAGTAGAGGAGGGGAAGCCGGGGAGGACGCTGGGCAGAGGATGAGAGATCCAGGAGGGGTGAGGTAGCAGAGGGAAAGCAGAACAGAAACGGCGGAGGAGGATGGGACGTGATGAGTATGTTCCAGAAAACGAAGACAGCGAGGGTGAGTAGATGATGAGATGATCCTGAGCGAGACAAAAACAGGCGTAAGGGATAATCCAATTCCAAATCCAAAATACAATCCAAGGTCATAAATCCACTAGTCGAAGGCGAGTCAAAACACGAATTAATAAGATCAAAGTTCAGAGTCGAGTGGCTGGTGCTACCTAAACTGGTGCAATCATCCGGCAAAGTGATGTGTCTCCATCCTCCTTTTGAACCCGCGTCCCTGATTGGGAAATCTCCTGCAGCTGCCGCTCCCCCTGCTCCTCACCTGTGGAGAATTAGCTCAGAGTCTGGTGAGAGGAGAAGGTGTGACTCACCTCTGCCCAGGAACATGACAGTGCCCCCCCCCCCCCCCCCCCCTCAACGGACGCCCCCCGGCGTCCTAGCACCGGATCTGGAGGCCTCGAAGTCCGAGATGAGAGAGGGGTCCTCGATGTTGGACCGGGGAATCCAGGAGCGTTCCTCCGGGCCGTACCCCTCCCAGTCCACCAAATATTGAAGACCCCGACCACGGGGGCGAGAGTCGAGGATGCGCCGCACCTTGTATACCAGCCCCCCTTTGTAGAGCTGAGCAGGAGGAGGCGGAGCCGGAACCGGGCTCAGAGGGCTGGAAACGACGGGTTTGATCAGGGAGACATGGAACACAGGATGGATCCGAAGAGACGACGGGAGTTCCAACCGCACGGTCGTCGGACTAGGGACCGCCGCGACCTTGAAGGGACCAAGGAACCTAGGAGAGAACTTCCTGGTGGTCGCCTTCAGCGGGACATCCTTGGACGACAACCAGACCATTTGACCGGGAGAGTAGGTGGGAGCAGGACGACGGTGTCGGTCAGCCAGTCGCTGATTCCTTTCCGCGGTCCGCTGAAGAGCCGACCTCGTGGTGATCCAAGTGCGGCGGGCCCGACGAAGGAACTGAGGAGTGGTGATGGTGGCATCTGTATGAAGGGGGAACAGAGAGGGCTGATATCCGAGGGAGGACTCGAAGGGAGACTGACCTGTGGCGGAGGAGACATGGCTATTATGGGCATATTCGACCCAAGCCAAATGCTCACTCCAGGTGGATGGGTTGGTGGCGCAGACGCAGCGAAGCATGGCACCCAACTCTTGGTTCATCCGCTCGCATTGTCCGTTGGTCTGCGGATGAAACCCCGAGGTCAGAGCCACCTGGGCTCCCAAGGCGGTGGCAAACTCCCTCCAGACACGAGACACGAACTGGGGGCCTCGGTCAGAGAGGATCTCTGTTGGGATCCCATGCAGACGAAAGACATGTTGAATTAAAAGCTGGGCCGTGACGGCAGATGTAGGGAGAGCCTTTAACGGCACCAGATGACAGGCTTTGGAGAACCTGTCCACAACAGTTAAAATGACACTAAAACCATGCGAAGGTGGCAACCCACAAACAAAGTCCAAGGCAATATGGGACCAAGGACGGGACGGCACTGGTAGGGAACAGAGTAGGCCTGCTGGAGACTGATTGGTACCTTTTTGTTGGGCACAGACGTGGCAGGCCGACACATACTCCTTCACGTCTCTGTAGAGGGAGGGCCACCAGAAAGATCGCCTGATCAGAGCCACAGTACGTCCTACTCCAGGGTGGATTGAGAACCTCCCGGTGTGAGCCCAGTGAATAACCTTTCCTCGTAGTGCCTGGGGAACAAACAGTCTGTTGGAGGGTCCGTTACCTGGGCCAGGATCCACCTTAAGGCCCTCCAGGACCTGGTCTCTTATGGGCCATGTTACTCCAGCAACGATGCAGGAGGCAGGCAAGATGGTGCTAGGAGCCGTCTCATCTTCAGAGGAGTGCTGGCGAGACAGAGCGTCAGGCTTTGTGTTCTTTGATCCTGGTCTATAGGACAAAACAAAGTTAAAGCGGGAGAAGAACAAAGACCACCTATACTGTCGAGGGTTCAGTCTCTTTGCCTCCTTGAGATAGATCAGGTTTTTATGATCAGTCCAAATGATAAATGGTAGTTCAGCCCCCTCCAGCCAATGTCTCCACTCCTCCAAAGCCAGTTTTACTGCCAGTAACTCCCTGTCCCCCACGTCATACCTGCTCTCGGTGGGTGTCAAGCGCTGTGAGAAGAAGGCACACGGATGAAGTTTGTGGTCTTCTGGGGATACCTGAGAGAGGACTGCGCCAACCCCGGTGTCAGAGGCGTCCACCTCCACAGTGAACTGCTGCGTGGGGTCTGGTCTGGAGAGGACTGGGGCCTCGGTGAACCTCCTCTTCAGAGTCCTAAATGCAGCTTCTGCTTCTGGAGACCAAGAAAAGGGCTTAACAACAGAGGTTAGAGCTGTCAGAGGGGCTGTGGTCTGGCTGTAATTGCGGATAAACCGTCTGTGAAAGTTTGCAAAGCCAAGAAACCGCTGCAGTTGTTTCCTGGTGGCAGGGGTAGGCCACTCAGTCACTGCTTGGACCTTGTCTGGGTCCGCCCTCAGCCGTCCACTTTCTAAAACAAAACCAAGAAACTTAACTACTGAAACATGAAATTCACATTTCTCGGCTTTTACAAATAGTCTGTTCTCCAACAGCCGTTGGAGTACCATCCGAACATGTTTCTGGTGTTGATCAATGGACCTAGAAAAAATCAAAATATCATCAAGATATACAGATACAAAGTCATTAATGTAGTCCCCCAACACTGAGTTCACAAGTCTCTGAAACACCGCTGGAGCATTAGTGAGGCCAAAGGGCATCACCAAATATTCAAAGTGCCCCAGGGGTGTCTTAAAAGCTGTATTCCATTCGTCACCTTGGCGGACTCTGACCAGGTGATATGCATTGCGGAGATCCAACCACGTAAAAACAGTGGCATCTTGACCAGGTTCAAAGGTTGATGAGAGTAGAGGGAGCGGGTACTTGTCCTTCACCGTTATTTGATTTAAACCCCTGTAATCAATACAAGGGCGAAGCGACCCGTCCTTCTTGGCCACGAAGAAAAACCCAGCTCCCAGAGGCGAGGTGGATGGCCTGATTATGCCATTGGCCAGGGCCTCTGTAATGTATTTCCTCATACTGTCCTGTTCAGGTTTGGACAGACTGTAGAGGCGGCTGGTTGGGAGCGGAGCTCCTGGCAACAGGTCTATTCCAATGTCAAATGGACGGTGAGGTGGCAACGTGGCTGCTTGATCTCTACTGAACACTTGCTGCAAGTCATGGTACTCACTTGGTACCTGGGTGAGATCGGGCGGCTCCACAAGAGTCCTTTCAGAGTCCTTGGATCCAGAGGAAGCAGAGGTCAGGCAGGTAAGATGACACTCCGGACTCCAGGTCTCCACACGGCTTGATCTCCAGTCCAAACACGGGTTGTGTACCCTAAGCCAGGAATGGCCTAGAACTACTTGGTTCTGCGGGGAGGGAAACACAAATAATGAGATCATCTCCGTGTGGTTACCTGAGACCTGGAGCTGGAGTGGTTGGGTCCGGTGGGTGATTGTGGCCAGGGGCCTCCCATCCAGGGAGGACACTGTTAAAGGTTCCGGCAGTGGAACAGTAGACAGTCCCCAATCCTGCACCAGTTGAGGGTCCACCAAAGACTGTTCACATCCTGAGTCTACTAGAGCAGTCGTCCGGTGGCGACGACTGTTAACAGTCAAAGCACAGTCAATAAGAAAACGGGAGGTCTCTTTACCTGAATGACTGCCCACCAGAACTCCCGGAACTACTGGTGGGCACGCCCTTTTGACGCCGCAGGGCAAGTGTGCACCATGTGTCCTGGTTTTCCACAGTAAAGGCACAACCCTTTACTGTAACGATGTTGGCGCTCCTCTGGAGTAAGGTGGGTACGTCCCACCTGCATGGGCTCCTCGGGTGAGTCCAGAGGAGGAGACCTATGGGATGGACGATGTGCTACAGGTGGTGACAGATCCCTGAATGGTGTCTTCTGAAGCTCCCTGTGTCTCTTGTCGATAGAGATGCATAATGAGATCAGTCCGTCCAGGGTTGATGGCTCGGGGCACAGAGCCAGCTGGTTCCTTACCCGATCGTTCAGCGCTTCGATGAATGCTGCTTTAAGGGCATCGTCTCCCCATGATGTCATTGCAGCCAAGGTCCTAAACTCCAGAGACATGTCAGCCACTGACCTTCTTCCCTGCGAGAGGTGCAACAGTCTTTTTCTGATGTCAGTGGTGGTCTCTGAACTGCAAAAAGTCAGTTTAAAATCCTCCAGAAAGTCTGGGTATGAACCAGACAGGAAATTAGGATTTCTGCTCTTAGCCTCCGCCAACCGAAGCGCCTTGCCTCTAAGTAGTCCAACAATAAACGAGATCTTCATTGAGTCAGTAGGAAAAGACCTCGGGGAGTCTTCAAACGCTAGGCGGCACTGTAGCAGAAACCCAAAGCAATCCTCGAATTCACCGGAGAAGGTCGGACATTGCCGAGGAGGAGCCGAACGGAAGTGGGTGATTTCCGGAGAGCCGAGCACCTCCAGTCCAGGTGAAACCACACCTCCCGAGGCGTGTGCGTGTGCTTCTGTTCCAAACGCCGGAGCGGCGGCTGTCGCTGGAGCGGGGACGGAGCCCGAGGCTGTAGAGGAGAGCTGCTCCTGAAGCTGCTGCAGGACGGTCTCCAAACGTTGATAACGTTGGTTGGTGATATTCAGCTGCTCCATGAGGACGGGAAGTGTCTGCTCTTGTTGGGACATCCGGGTAGCCAGATCCGCGAGTGCTGACTCCGCTGGATTAGATGTGTGGCCGGATGATTCTGTCATGGCTCGAGGTAAGTGTCTAACCCAAGACATGCAGAATCAGCACACGTAGTCCAAAGCAGTAAAGTAAAATGTCTTTATTATAAAAACGGGAACTGAAACCGCACAGGGAAGTCCTGTGGGATGAGCAATACGGCTCGAGTCTCTGAGGTGCTCAGGTTAATCAGTAGAGGAGGGGAAGCCGGGGAGGACGCTGGGCAGAGGATGAGAGATCCAGGAGGGGTGAGGTAGCAGAGGGAAAGCCAAACAGGAACGGCGGAGGAGGATGGGACGTGATGAGTATGTTCCAGAAAACGAAGACAGCGAGGGTGAGTAGATGATGAGATGATCCTGAGCGAGACAAAAACAGGCGTAAGGGATAATCCAATTCCAAATCCAAAATACAATCCAAGGTCATAAATCCACTAGTCGAAGGCGAGTCAAAACACGAATTAATAAGATCAAAGTTCAGAGTCGAGTGGCTGGTGCTACCTAAACTGGTGCAATCATCCGGCAAAGTGATGTGTCTCCATCCTCCTTTTGAACCCGCGTCCCTGATTGGGAAATCTCCTGCAGCTGCCGCTCCCCCTGCTCCTCACCTGTGGAGAATTAGCTCAGAGTCTGGTGAGAGGAGAAGGTGTGACTCACCTCTGCCCAGGAACATGACAAAATCCTAGTCCTACAGGGTGCCAAACTGGCCTGTTTGAGTTTGTCTGCTCATGTTCAGCTGGTCATGTAACAATATTATACTGGAGCAGAGAAACACCTAAAACATGTTGGACAGCAAACCTCCAGGGCCAGGACTGCTTAACCATGTAGGTAAAGAGCAAGTCACCCCCTACCAGAGCCTTACTCCACTCCTATTTCCTGTTAGAAAAATGCGCCATAAGGAGGCGTTGTCTGGCAGACCAAGAGGGCGGAGCGGCTAACAAATACACACACACACACACACACTCACACACACACACACACACACACACACACACACACACACAGAGGCTCACAATGACATTGTGGCTGTGTCTCAATTCAGGGTCTGCATCCTTCGAAGGACCCAGTCTACTCGGCCGATGTGGGCTGGGTCCTCCGTTGGCCAGGTAGACCGGATGTTATCGGCTGTGAATTTGGACAGGCCTAGCCTTCATGAATTCCCGCCTCTCCCTCGGCGAACGTTCCGTCGCCTAGCAACCGTGGAACCGCTGAGCAGAAGGGAGAAGGAACTTTAAACGATGGAGCTCGAAGTTTTATTTAGATCTTTAATCATTTCCTTGACTGTTGGAGAGCTAATTCGGAGAAAATACTTTCGACAAGCTGAGCCTGAGCAAAGATGTGATAATAGTTTTTAATACTTTCTAAGGGTCTTCATTTGACCAAAACCGATTCATCACCTTTTAAGACTTTTCTGACCCAGCGGGATACCCTCTAGTAAACAATTCTCATTTGTAAACCAAAATAAAATTCAAGAGTTTAATGCAGAACTGATTTTATTTAGATATTTCTTTTATATGTACATGTTTAATCTTTATTAACCATTTTTCTAGCAAAGTAAAAAGATGTCAAAGTTCTCCCTTCTCTCCTGTGCCCTCTGCTGCTCTGCCTCCCTCTGCAGCCTCAAGTCCTCCCAGATCAGCTCCAGAAGCTGGTCATCGCTGTCACCTTCCCCTGGATGCCCATTTTCTCCAGAATAGTCTTAACAAACATGTAAGAAAAGAAACAGGAAGAGAAAAGAGGACAACGGGTTATTCCTTTCATGTTTTCGCAGAAAAAAATAAACTGAAACCAGTTTTTAAAATATGAGATGTTATTGTACCTCAATGCCACAGCCGCCAAATACTTTGCTCCAGTGATCATGTGGTCCATCTCCGCCCTAAGCTTAATAAATTCCCTGGTTTTCTCTTGTACCTAAAATACAAACTTCTATTAAAATCAGGGGGAAAACGTAGCGGGAGAAGTACGACATCGAGCGGCCGAACATACGAGCCGAGACCGCAATACAAGCACTTTTACTGTAACATTTCTAACTAAAATAACGTTCATGTATCACCAAAAGCCCTTAACCTAACAGTTTTCAAGTTTATACTGACATTTATATGCGCAATCCTCTCCGACAGCTCCCGCTTCACTGTCCGCCGTTTTTCTGCCGGCCGGCCCGCAAGGCATCTTGGGAAATGCTACCCATTGAAGGATACACCAGACCCATCCTTCATTCAGGCGAAAAGAAGGCCGCATTCGTCGACCGCATTTGAAGGAGTCTTCGAATTGGGACAGGCCTAGTCGCGGCGCTGTGACGTAACCGGCCGACGAATCCGGCCGACGTAGGATGCAGACCCTGAATTGAGACACAGCCTGTGACTATATGGTACCCAGGGGCGGCGTTAGGCCCGGCTACTTGGGCTGAAGCCCCGGATGTTTCATGGAAAGCCCCGGATCTAAATCGCGGAAGTAACATGCAGTACCAAAGTCCAACAGAGAGGGAGCAGCTGGCAGTAGTTTGTATACAGCCTGCCTGAGCCTCCACCACTGAAGAAGAAGCCCTTCAGCAGCCGGCTTCTTCTGCAGTCTCTGCCTGAAATGCATGAGTGAAGATGGACATAAGGACGTTTTTTAGACCAAAAGTACGGCGACAGAATCCCGGCTTTGATGAGACTGGTGTTGACTCAGGTTTGTGAGTCTTATTTGAAAATATTTGTTGTGCTGCTGGTTTGCCTAAAGTTAGCTTACTATCAGGTAAAGTTGTTGGAGAAAGAAAGGGAATATTTACTATCATCTCACACTAAACAATAACAGGAACAATACTCTGCCCTGAATGTGCTTAATATGTAGCTTCAGATTAAAAATTATGTGGTACAAGACATATATGATGTTGACTAGTGCGTGTCACGTGTGTGTGTGTGTGCGCGCGTGCGTGTGCGTGTGTTAAGCCCCGGATGTTCTTCAGTCCTTAATCCGCCCCTGATGGTACCAGCTAACGTCATTGGGTACCTTTTAGCCAATGGCAATGGCAGATTTAAATTTAAATGTGGTGCAGATGTTTTACCTGCAGAGGGCGCAACACTGACAGTTTTAAGCAGACTGTTTAAACTAAGATGCACTCAAGTGCCAAATTATTGACTACACGTCTACAGCACGATTACACTCCCGTTTATATAATTTATCAGCAAAAAGAAGTTGATTGGGGGGTGACTTGCTCTTTGAGCAGCAACATTTTCCATGTCCAATAGCACAGTATTTGTTTTCATTTGTTTGTGACTAAAGCTTTGCTTAGTGTGTTTATTTAGGGCAGCGTGTGTGACTGTTGTATGTTAGTGAGGAGATTAGTTCCGCGTGTGCAGCACGTAGCCCGTCCCATGTAACAGCAGCAAACCCCAGCCAGAGAAAGTTAGTAATTAGGGCGAGGCTCGCTTGGGCTCTCTGGTTCCCCGCAGCGCTGGAGCGTCTCCTCCTGTTTTTTCTTCTTTTTTTCCTTCTTGCTTTATAGCTTGTTGTTCTCGGCTTCATGTTCAAGTTCGCAGGCTTAGCAGACCGCGCGACGCACGCTTCGGACGGGCACGCGTGCGCGCGGGTGTAGCCCTCGCCTAGTTTGCGCTGGCGCGGGTCATTCCAGGTTGAACCCTGGCGCTGTGTCCCGTTCAGCTGGGCCGAAGGAGGGAGATCAACACTGCGTCCCCCCAGAAGAGGAATGCACGGCCGCCGGGACACCGACTAATCTCTGGATAGAGGCTTCGTGTCGCTGATACGGTATGTCTCACGGACATGTCTTACTTTGACATCCAGGCAGTGACAGCTTTTTAAAATGCTAGCTGCGTGACAGCTTCACAGCCAGGTGCATTGTGGTTTTGCGTCATAGTAATGTTTAACAGCCATGGATGTCTTTTATGTGCCATGGAAGCAACTGTGTTCAGACCGTACTTCATTCAAAATGTCTCGAATTTTACACTGCCGCACGAACCGGTCGCTGGTTTAAATCTGGACAAATGACTCTGCCTGTATATGCATTAACATAATGTTGGTGACCTTTCGGCATATTTTTGCTTTTACTCAGTACTTTATAACAGGTTTAATTGAACATATATTTATAATTTCGCCGCTACTTTGCAGCTAGGATGATGGGATACCTGATCCGAATGACACGGGGAAAGGGTAACAAAAAATCAGGCTATTCAAACTTCTGTTTCATTTTTTTTAAACGCAGAATGAAACCTCGTCATAAATAATAAAACTCTGTCATTGTAGGTATTTATATGACCCAATGTGGTTATGGAAAAAGCAAGACCGGTTTAAATGGACATATTTGTTATGAAGTTTGGTTTGGACAGCACCAGTACGGGGCTAGCTTTATGAAGACTTGAAGAGTTAGGTTTCTGGGTCCTGACTGGTCCACTCTGTAACCCAGAGCCACCTGTCTGGCACAGGACTGACCCACTGGAGCACTTTTGATGCTTCTCGTCTTTAAACAGGCGTTAGCTTTCGTTCTCTCATGCTGCGGGTTAACATCTGGTGTGCAGAGTAAGTCCTCTGTCTCCGCTAGGACAAACCACTGGGCTGCTAGTAGTTGGACACATGTCTCACTGGGTCTGATAAACAGCTGTCTCTCAGCTGAAAACCTATTTCACACCAAGCGTTTGGGTCTGTCGAGTTTTTATGTAATTAGGTGACAGCCTGGTGCCTTCAGGGTCGGTCGGAAAATCCAACTCTGACTCTTGAAGCTCTATCTATCTATCTATCTATCTATCTATCTATCTATCTATCTATCTATCTATCTATCTATCTATCTATCTATCTATCTATCTATCTATCATCTATCATCTATCTATCTATCTATCTATCTATCTATCTATCTATCTATTCATTTCTAGTGATTTCTATCTATCATTTCTAGTGATTTCTATGTAGCGTTGATTGGATCGGTTTGTGTCGTGCGGGTTGCTGTTGAGCCCACAGCCAGGAAGGAGCTGCTGAGAGCCGCATCAGCTGGGGGTATTTAAGGTCGTCCTGTCTGCTTGTTTGCTCATGTTTGCTGTTGCTTGTCTGGACAGCCGCGGGCTCTCAGAGCAAAGCCCCTGTCTGCACGCTGCATCTGTATCACTGCCTGTATGGTATAGATGTGGTCTGTAACAGTTCGTTGAACAGGGTTAGCCTAACCCAGACTCCTGACCCTGGAAAGCATCATATGTGACAGAATTCTGCTCTCCCAGCATGGTAACTGGTATCAATTGTAATGTGTGCTGTTGTTTTTTTTTGTTTTTCTATGAATGTTTTATGCTGCACTGTTTTTGTCTCTTACTAGTGTTATGGTTCACCATCTTTGAGGTTAGGAAGTTGATCCCAATGGCTTCTTTAAGCAGGAATTTGTCTCTTCACATCATCACGCACACCCTATATCAGGAAGTCCAGCACAACAATGATTGCTCAGTCATCGCTCTCTGTCCATGGCCTTAGCGTTCCCGTTTCGTGTCAGTTAACAGCAACTAACACGGCTCATAATCCCCGCCGCGCGGTCACAGCCCGATCTGAGGATGGCTGCAGTGTTGTCAGCTAAAAAAGGTAAAAACAAATCAATAGTCGGTGTTTAGAAAAGAACCAAACAATGGAATTTCACAGCTGGCTTTGTTCCTGTCCACTTCTCAGTTCCACGCTGGACGACTTGGGGTTCACACACTTGCGACGTTAACGAGTAAGCAGTGAGGAGGGTTGTAGCATGTGGCAAGGCCCAAAAGCGGGGGTGCTAGCGATGGGAGACGTCTGTTAATCTACAAATCCCGGCACAAGCCTCGAAGAGAAATGAGGATGTGGCGTTCCAGAAAGTAAAGAGAATGGGTTTACCGTTAAGGTGACACTGGATGATATGAGCATGGAAGCT